ACCGATAAAATTTTGACGTTCAGGACATATTTTCGGGTTTCTAAAAATTTAAATGTGATTAATCAATCGATTTCTGTACAGATAAATAAATAAATTTCTAATTCATTTATATTGTATTAGAAATTAATAAATAGTGTGTGATGTTTTAATTATTTTGACAATTAATTAAGCTAAAATATAAATAATTAATTAAGCTAAAACTTTTTATCGACTTCAGAAACTTATTTAATTTTGTTTAACGCTATATTATTGTGTTTTTAATTTATATATAATGTGTTTACATCATATCTTTAAAAATCTTGAGTAAGATCCAATAGAAAACTAGTTTTTAATATTGATATACAGTAATTACTAGTTTTCTAATTTATAATTTTAAGTTTTTGATGTTTTCACATTGATGTGATTATTTAAAATAAATTGTTAAATATGTATAATTTTTTCAAAGTTTTATTCACTTATCTATCATTACAGGAAAAGTCTTTTGTTCAACAAACAATTGATAAGTAAACAATTGCATTAAAAAAATATTATAAAAATATTTTCTATATATATTATATTATACATTCACCATATAAATATTTTCCCCAATGCAATCATTTTATACTTACGATTTATTTATAGAACAAAACACTTTTTCTGTAATAATAAATCATTGAATCAAAGTTTGAAAAAGTTACCCTATGTACTGTTTCTAACTATTTTATATTCTAATTAAAATTAATATATTTCATTATTTTGACAAAGTCGTTGAAGTAGAAAATCGAATTCAAATGGAACTAGAAAACGCATCGCATTCGAAGTTATTATATTTTAACCGAAAAGGATTACTATAATTTATAAAATTGTAAAATTCGCAAGTTGTGAATTTTAAATTTATTTTAAATAATTGTATCTATTAACTTAATTTTAAGTTAATAAATAGTTGTTTAATAATGATTTTTTAGAGTTTTATATATAATTTGTTTCCTAGAAAACAATATACTTAACAATAATGATTATGAAATATATTTTAAATGATAAATAGTTATCGATTATTTAATAATAAAGTAAAAAACTGTTTTATTTTAGATATAAAATTAGAAATTAATGAATATTTTTTAAACAAGATGTCTTGAATTATTGACAAGACTATGTCTTGTTTATAAAATCGTACTGCCTGATGTTCTTACCAGCATAGAGGTATGAAGGAGTACATGTCGAGAGTTGCAATTTGGCACAGAGTATTAGGTGCCAAAATCATTTGCGCATAAAAAATCCAGACTCGTAGGTAGTCGGGGGACGGAGAACCGAATCAAAATAAAATACAAAATGGCGACCCTCTTCTACTGACAGGCAAAACAGCCACCTCACCCCACCGAAGTCAAAGTCAGGTGGGGGAGAGTACCACCCACAGTCATTATAAGAAGTGAACTCTGACCTTAGGAATGAACACGTAGTTTCTTCTATGTTAAATAACATTTGTAATCTAATTTTGTAAATTTGGGAGTGCTTCAAATATGACATTAAAATGGTTTTAAGTCCTTACAGGTGGGTTTTTTTAAACATTATCTACTAAAGTAAAATCGTGGGACCGATAAAAATTTGACGTTCTATTAGGATGACGTTATAAATGGGTTAAACTGTATATTGTTTGTGCAAAATAAAAAAAATAATTTCGGACGATACAATAGTCACGATTATATTTTTCAAAAACGGGAAATTTTCGTTACGCATGGACAAAAATTCAACCCGGGCCGACACGCAACGGAGAGAAATTTCGAAATTGGATAGGTTAATTTCATCGAAGATGCATCGTGGATGATCTCCTGGGCGTGGCCGGCGAAATTTGAATGATCGCGCCCGAAAGCACCGATATCAAAGAAGATAGGAGAATGAGAACGAGACCTGCCTTGAGCATCAAAGTGATTCCGTCTCCGAGACATAGTCTTGTCCCAAATACGGTTTTGCCGTTTTACTTGTTTTCATTCTAGATTTTTTTTTAAAATTTTACTTAATTTCTAAAAGATAATGCTATAATAACTTATACTTTTAAACTATTTTAGTATTAAATATTTAAAATTATTTTAGAATTATTATTTGCGTTATTTATAATATTACTTTAAATTCTTATGTTTTAAAATAATTTATTTAATTTATTTTAAACGAAGTTAATATTAAAAAATACTTTCGAAAAACATAATCATGTTAATTTTGTTCAAATCTATTTTACTGTACTGTACTTCAACTATACGAAATAAAACTTCCTATTGTTTTTTATTAATAAACACAGTAAATAATAATTTTAATTATTTTTAATTAATTACATCCCACATAATTAACTCAAAAAATATAAAAATTAATACACTAAAAATAAAAGAAGTTATATTTTAATCAATTAAAATAAAGATTTTTTAATCAGAATGTCCTTATTAAAGAAATTAATATTGGAAATATAATGTTTTATATTTTATAATTATAATTTATATAAATTTATGTAAGCGAATATATTTTTGTTGACTCAAGCTACGTCGAAAAATACTATTTTAAATCTATTTCATATATCATAAAATATTTCATCATAAACAAGTCCAATAAAGATGAATAGAGATCAACGGATGGATTTCTCTGAAATCAAATCCATTAGCTTTATTCAGAATGAAGGAGGAAACCAGACTGCCTCAGGACTCTTAAGTTGTTAGGATTTCACATTCACATCTTTTTGCGAACTTATTTATTTTGTTGTTGCTCGATTCTTGATAAGTAAATGTAACTTTGTGGAAAAAATAGCATTGCATTCTATTCTCGGATAGCATTCTCGGATATTTTATTTGCCAAGAATAGAATATTCAACAAGTTTTCATGTTATACGAATGATAGTAAGCTACCATATTTTACTTGTTTGCGGATTTTATAACGCTCTAGCACTAAAGACTAGAGTGGAATAAGCACCGATTTATATTGGTTATATAAACCAGTGATTAATTAAAATTGAGTATATAAATTATTTAAATTTATATCACTCAATATTTAATATGTTTTATAGAATAGCAGAAATAATATAACTACTTCACGTAATTTTCATTATTAAATAAGCTTAAGTAAGAATCAAAATAACTTAATAATGAAATATCGACTTTTAATATAAAGTATCTTCTCTGTTTGATAGATAATGAAAATGAATATGTAGAAAAATATATTTAAAAATATTATATTAATAATAAAGTATTGTGTGTCATGTTTTATAAATTTTGATAAATAACTAAATGCTTTATAAACTGTATAATTAATTGCTTGTTAAGTTTGTTGTTATCTCCTATCATATTTTTAACCGATGATGATTCACAATTAAGAAAATTGGCTTTGACACACAGTTTAAAACAATGGTTCCGTGTTTCCGATTTTAGCTTCATTATTCAGTCTCCATTTACATAATCTATTCAAGTCATTCTAAGCGTTGAAAAATATAAAGTTTAAAATTCTTGTAAGCATATTAGACATTAATTTACGTTGTAAATGATATATAAAGATTAATTGTCTGTTAATAAAAGAATACGTCGTAAAATTAAACTGATAATTAATACATAAGTAATCTTTTATAAAATTTAAAATCTTACTTTGATATTTTCCATCATTATGTGTTCATGAGCTACATCTAATTTTTCTCCTGTGATATAAAATGACTTTCCTTCTATTGTATATCTTACTTGCTTATCAATGTCATGAACACAAGACTGTCCTGCAAAAAGTGAAGTTTCTGGATTAATATATTATTAATTTTATCTTGAATTATATTCAAAAATATCTGAAATCATACATAATTTTTCAATACATAAATGTAGAATACAGCGGGAAGACTTTTTCTGTCTCCAAACCTTTCTACTAGTTGCTTTATAAATTTTTTGAAAAGAATAATTTTATTTTCTTAAACTTTATAATATTTTCAAAAAATACATGAGTCGTTTTACAATACATAATTCGAAAAGAACAAGGTATTAACTAGAAAGTGACAAGTGAAATTTGAAACAAACAACATAACAAGAGTTTATTGCTTCTATAAATTTTACGACAGGATAGATATATAAGCCATTTCTCTTCTAAAAAGAACATCATCAAAAAGTTCTTATCCCATGTATTGAATTATTATGACTTTTTTATTAACTCCATAAAAAAATACAAGGATATATTTTTGTGCGACTATTACACTTCTTACGTATAGTATATATACGTAACTTTTTATTCAATATTTTAAAATGGTTTGTTATAATAAATAAAACAACAGCATCAGATTTAGGTTTTAAAAATTATAACGTGTTCGATTTAAACTCTTATACCAAAGAATTATAATAGAAATCGATTAATTCTTCTATTTTATTGAATATAATTAATTTTATAATAAAAATCATTACATAATATATTTATTGTAAATATATAATTCACGTTAAATATAATAAACATTGTTAATATTGTTTTATTATTAATTTCAAATATATGTTATTTATTTAATTAATTTTTCAATAATAATTTGAAAAAAACTTAATTTTTTTTAAACTTCTTAGTTAATGTCAACAGAAAATGATTTTATAATATTTTTGTTAATAAAAACATTCCAATAAACTGAAATACATATATAAATTTAAGATAGTTATTTTTTTGTTCATTATTTCCAATAATTTAAGTAAACTAATATTAAATACTTAATTAATATATAAAATATTAATTAAGTTAATAATTTATATATTAAGTTCTACTAATCAAAACAGTTCGTAACTGTAATCATTTCTGTCTGAACCAGATGTTAGAAAACAATGTTTGTTGTTTGCACTTACCTCCAATCGACCTGGCACAGCACTTGCCCTTGTGAATCAGACAGATCACAACTATCACATTAACCAACACAAAGACAGTTCCGACAGCTGTAACACATATCCACCACCATTTGGAGTTTCCAGTAGTGCTTTTGATTTTCTTGCCAGGAGAGGCTTGTGTAGAATCCATAACCGCAATTTCTTAAAAGAAAAAAAAAACTTTCAACTTTTATCTCAAGATAAATCAATTTAAGTTTACTTACTGTAGTTACGAGCTTATTTTCTTATTATAAGAATATTAATTAATAAATTAAAAATAGGAAATGATTTCATTTGGTTAATCTTCGTACTCTTTAATTAAATATTTCTTAAATTTATAAGCTATCGCTGATAATTTTTTTAATATGTTAATAACTCAGAAAATATTTTTGTAACTCACCAGTGGTACTGGCTTTTATTTCTGATGTGAAATTACTATGTCCTAGATCATTCCAAGCAGAAACGGCAATATAATATTCTGTTCCAGCTTTCAGGTCAACAATTTTGTGATTATGTCTCATCGCTACAGCATCTTGAAAGTAATATGTTTCTATTCCAAGCTGTCTGTATCTGATACGAAATGACGATACGTAACCACCATCAAAGCCCGGTTTCCATATAATAAATATATAATTATTACTGACGTTAACAACTTGTAAATCAACAGGTGGTTCTGGTGGCCCTAACATGTAAACATTTTTAATGGATTTTAAATAATTCTTATACTTTATTAATTAAATAACGTTGATAAATATATCTTATACTGAATAATATAAAAGTATTAGATATTTATACGTGATTCAGATCACCGTCAATGCCTTATATCTCATGAAGTATTAAAGATAAAATCAAATTGTAAAAAATGCATTACTAAAATGCGTGTGTGAAATCTAAAAAATATCAAATTTCTTTTTAAAAAGCTTTCAGGGAAATATAGCCTATATGAAAATCATATAAAATTCTGAATTTATTTCTTCCTATTTGCATTATACTTCCATTTAAAATTGACTTCGACGGTTGGTCTGAATTATTCCGTATATTGAAATAAATTTAAAATTACCTCTTTTGACCAATAAGAATTGAAAAATGTCCTTTCCAAGAGAATTAGTTGCAATACATTCGTAAATACCAAAATCTGATTCTTCCAATTGCTTGACAAGTAAAGTACATTCCCATGTTGAGTTTCGTGCGGAATTTCTTACTTCATATTTTGGACTTCTTTCTAATAATTGCTTTTTATAGGACCAATTGATGGACGTATTGGAATAAGAATCGGCGATGCATCGAAATTTTGCAGTATCTTTTATATCGCTCGCAACTTTTGACTTCATTTGGGATCGTCGAATTACTGGCCTATCTGGTCATACAGATGATATAAATGAATATATTTACTTTCTATTTCAGTTAAATTCGATATAGGTCATTAAATGTTGAATTACAGTACATTTCTTTTCTCGTATTGTAATAATTTAGAATAAATTAAAAATTAATATCTGATTATATTTTAGAATCATCGTTGCTTTAAAGTGATACTATATAATAGATGCCACAAAAGGCAATTAGAGTTGAAAATGAAATTAATAAATAAATATTTAGAATTTACGAGTAACGTCCCTACGTGATTTGATGTAACCCTTTATAAAAAAAAATAATAAGAAAATTCATATTGGTTGCCCTATAAATATTATAAGTTTATTGTAATAAATATGCTATTTAAATGTTTATTTTAAAATATATTATATGTATTATAAAAATTAAATGCTGAATTAAAAGTAATTTATTTTCTTTTACTAAATTTAATAGAATTAAAAGTGTTTGTTTGATCTGTAGGAAAGATAGAGAGAGAAAGATCGAGAGATTAGAACATTTCAAACAGTTTGAACTTCACTTATTGTATCCAGATGAATATATGCTAGCTGCATTATAATTATTATTAGTAAATAGAAACCATTTATTTATAAATTAATATATTGCAATAATAGATATTAGAGATATAATTATATATTGATCTAGTCATTAACAGATAGTTATAAGAAGTCATTTTTAAAGATAATATTTTTCAGAAATGTTTAATGAATGACAATTTGTTCTACTTTTTCTTTAGAAAATGTGTTGTTTTGTTTCGAATATGTATTGTAATTGTAAAATAAAACTAACGCATTTCTTATAACATTCTACGGAAAAAAGTAGAAAACAAATTGTTAATATTAACAAGACATTTCTGATGAATATTGTTAAAAACCATTTCATATATATACAGTATATAAAAGTATATGATAAAAATAGCTCATAGAACAAAGATAAAAATATTCTTACGGAAGCCTGAAGTTTCATCAGAATAACAAAATAAACACTTATTAGAATTTTGTATTTAATTAATATTTAGCAAGAGCTAGTGTTATAAAAAGTGTTATAAAAGATAAATTGTTTTAATTAAAGACATATCAATCATATAAGTGAAGCGTTTGTGTATCTTACAAATACCTATAAAAAGTTCATGTGAGAAGTACAAATAGAATACCCTATCTAGTAAATTTTTGCCATTTGTAGTGACATTTTTTTTATAAGAGATTAAAATTTAATGAAAAATAATGAAACAATATTGACGTTTTTATATACATTGAAAAATATAAGAGAGAGGTTATTTTTATAAATTCTGTGCATTGTGATCGAACAGAATGGAAAAAGTTTATCGTCAGAAAATCATCATAATGTCTCAACCACATTGATGAACAACTAAGCAACATACAGTATTTTATTATGATTCAAGACTCAACGTTCGTGTTTATGATTATTACATTTTATGAGTACTGAAACAAAAGGATAAGTAATACCATATTGAATAAATCAGATGCAATAGATTGCTTACTTTGCAATCTATTGCATCTGATTTTCTGTTTTCAGCAAATTTGTCACTTGCAATTGTTAAATGCATATAAAATTATCTACAGCCAAATGTTTTTATTTGGAAAGCTTGTAAATTAACATTTAATTTAAATATTTTTTAAATAGAAATAATCAGGAGAAAGTTGATTCAATTAAATCTGTTCTATACATCTTTCTTTTGATTAACGTCTAAAACAATAGTACTAATAAGATTATTATTATTGTTACAGTTAATAAAAAGAGACAATTTCCTCGGGCTTTGAGAGGATAACGAATTTGTTTTTAATACAATTTCTATTGATAAAATAATATGTGAATTTATAGTTTTATTAATTTGAACAGTTTCATCATTACTATTGTCATTTTAACGACTATTATTTTATAAATTAAATTAAAAATATTAATACGCATTTAAAGTTATTAATTTTTGAAAAATTTTTAATTGCATTACACGTTCTTTATTTTTTATTCTACATAATATAAAGTTTCTCTCAATGTAAATTGTACTGTACAATGTACGAAGCGTGTCTTACGTTAAAATTAAAAGTAGTTTTTGTTTCTATACATATCTAATTAATCAAGCACAATAAAAGTATTTAGAAATGTGTAAATAACGTATTTATTTCAATGAATAAAAATTTAAAGAATTGTTATAAAATTTATTCTGTAGAAAGTGTCAATTTTTTTTAAATCTTATTGATTATATAATTAATTTTTGACAGTAAACAATGTTTGGGATTGAAATATTGTTTTAAATTAATCATGAAAAAACGACAAAATCCTAAATTTTTTAAATAATAGAGACGGCATATCCGCTAAGACGATATAACATGCTAAAAGATATAAACAATTCTTTTAAATAAAAAAATTTTTGGCAACCCATCCGACATTACTAATATTTTATCGACTAATTAATTTTACATAATAAAACTATAATAAGTAACGAATTTTTCGATTTGATAAATTATTTGAGTGTATCTTATATAAATTGCAACAGTTTTTAGTTTTTTTATATCATAATAACTTAAGACATGACATAATTGTACAACAATAAAAAATTAATCAATCAGTCGTGTTATATACTTATTTTAAGAGTAATCTTATTATATAACTTTTTATTCTTACATATAAGGGATCAAAGAGATATCATCTAAAAAATCATGTTATTAGGAGGTACTTTCAATTTGGCATTTTTGTATTGTTAATCGGATCATGAACTTATGTGAGAAAAAAAAATTAACAAAAACAATCATCTTACTTTAATGAATTAAACAAACTCTGCTTACACTTGTAAGTGTTAAATATAAGTAGCCTAAGGATCAAGAAAATTTTTGATTGTCTTAAATAGTTTATAATTAATTTCAATTTATTTTACATATAATTTCGTTGTAATCAGCTTTTAAATTTGTATAGTTGCATAATTTATAAAATCATTTCTTATAAGAAATATTCTTAAAAATAAATGTTAAAATACTTTTAACATTCGTGAAAAAATTTAAGATTTGGGCAAGAACATGTTAACTCAAACTCTTTTAAATTCATATATTCCTAGGGCAGATGTGATTTCCAGATTCATCACCCATAATTTCTTATAGACTAGTCATAGTCTATCAACCTGTAACATTATTTGTGACTTGTCCTAAATAAAGAGCAAATTCTGAACTTAACAGTGATTTTCCCAGAAAATTGAAAAAAATAAGATAATACGTTCTTCCCTCGAAATATTCAATTATAAAGATGTATGTTTCGACAAAGCTTGTTTAGAATTGTGCAAGAATTTGTCGAACTAAAATTTAATTTGCAGTAATTATTTAGATGCTTATAAATCAAATAATTTCTAGTTATTATCTGTATTATAGATGTCGAAAACTTGTATGGGACCAGGAGTAGAGCTCTTACTTACTCTTACTTTTGACTCTTAGCGAGTCCTTTCAGTCATTATTATTATTATTATTATTATTTGAATAAATAAATACGTATATTATTTCCTTATTAGCAAAAAGAGGTATTAAAAATTTTATTTTCTGTTACTAAAACTAATATTAATTTTATAGGGATAGGAATCTCCATGGCTCTTATGTTTACTGCTGGAACAAGGAAACACTGAGCTTTTCCCAGCTCCCCTACTATCTCGACGGCCCTGTATTTAGATCTACAATACTTATATTTCTGAATCGTATCAATATTTTAATAATTTATGTCATGATAACTATTTATTAAGTAGCTATGAATGTATTTAGCAATACCGTTTTAAAACTCTATTGTATTAGATAAATTGCATAATTATCTATAGAATTCAACAAGATAGAAACATATACTGTATATACCTGTACATACAAAGATAACTTGATTAACAGATAACAATTATTCATCTGTAATATATATTGTTAAATTTAAATATTTTAATTGAGTTTATCGTTAAAACAGACAAAATAAGGTTTGAAATTTCATAATAAGTTTCAATAGTTATAAACAAAGTATTTGCTCTCTTAGTTTTGTTATATTTTAACGTTGTATCTTTATATTAAGTTTTAAATTAGCAGTATTTTAGTAGGCTGAATATATGTCATAGAAAAAAAAATATATTTTCCATTTCATTTAAGTAAATTTCAGAATTATTCTTTTATATTTTAATTATTGACNTGAACTATATCATACAGGTTGATTTTGCATAACTCAATTTTTATTATAGTTTTCAAAAGTTGAGAATTTTTTCTGTACAGATTCTATATGGTAGATAAAATGCTTTACCGAAAACGTCTAGATGTTAAAATTTACAAAATTCAATAATTTGGTGCTTTTTACGAGATAAACTTCACCCCATTTTTCTGTAATTTTCTGTAAGTCGACGGTAAAATTTTTTCAAACTTCGCTACGACTGAAAACATTCTTTTAAGATGGGCTTTTAACACCACGTGTTCTCTTAATGCGACAAACCAATATCGTTTGGAATGCAATATTTTTTGTACATTCCAGAAATAGTAGATGTGCCAATACTCATCTCCATAATTGCCTAGTTAAGCACCTGATTTAAATATGTTGTACCGATATCACTTTTTCTTGTATAATTTCCCGTGAATTTCGTATAAGATTTTTTCACATTAAAGTGTTTTTTATTCCTTTAAAAGATTATTGTATTGAAAAAAGTTTTTAAAAAATAGGCATTAATAACTATATAAATCCGATTTAAATAACAAGGAGAATTAAAAAGATTGTTACTGTTTATTTTTATGATTATATTTTTACTTCAAAGAGCAAATTTTACTTGAAATAATAGTAAAATTGAATTATATTAATTTATATTTTATTCGAGAAAATAATTAACTAAAGCAAATAAAAACATTTTAAAAAAGTATTTGGAATAAGATACAGAAACGAAATATAAATTATTTATATTCACGAATTATTAGTAATTATTTATTTTTATTAGAAATTATTTTTATTAGTATAAAACTTTATAAGAATTTTCAA